CGCGTCGGTCGTCTGACCCCCCGGCTGGCTCTTTCCCCCTGCTGTGATGGTGACAGCTGTTGAGGGAGCCGCGATTTGTTCGCCAGTGCTGTCGGCCCCGTCTCAACTGACTGGAGCCTCGTACGTAGTGCTTGGTAGCCCGGATGAAGATCGATAGCCCTGCTGATTGTGCCAACTGAGAACCAACTTTCGAGAACCAGTCTGGCCATCTTGTCGCTGGTTCGGCCGATGACGCTTGCTTCTCCAAAGGCGGAACTGTGTTTCCCCTGTCCTACGTGGCCATGAACCAGTTACAGCTTATCCTCGCGGTTGACTGCAAGCTGGTGCTCATGCAATTTTGTGCGGAGGCGTTTACCCGTTTCACCAACATACCTCGCCCTGCAATTTTGGCAAGGCATGCTGTAGACCACTGTTAATTGTTCCTTTGCCGGTAGCTGTTCTTTGGGTCTCATTATCTGCTGCCTGATAGTGGATTCCGGTTTATGGGTCACCCCAATCCCAAAAGGGCTCAGGATTCTTGCTGTCGCCTCAGCGAAATACCTACATTCTCTATTCACAGCCAATGCTTACCCACGATCCTTCATACGTGAGCGCCGAAGTGGACTAACCCGCGAACGATCTAACGATGAGTAGCCGAAATTCTGGCTCGCGATCGCTTACGTGAGGAATGTTTCTAAGGCGACAGCAAGAATCCTGAGTCCTTTTGGGATTGGGGTGACCCATAAACCGGAATCCATTATCAGGCAGCAGATAATGAGACTCAAAGACCAACTACCGAAAACGGAACAATCAGCAGTGGTCCACAGCATACCTTACCAAAATTGCAGGGCGGGGTATGCTTGTGAAACGGGTAAACGCCTCTGAACAAGATTGCATGTCGTAGTTGCCGCTGAGTCGGCGTGCTCGTTGGCAGACGGGGGGCTGATTGATCGTTGTTTCTCAGGCGTGGTGTTTTCGGCCCCGCGAGTACGTTCGTGAGGCAGTGTGCCACGCCGGTCACGTGACATTCGGTCAGCGCCTTCCGCTCTCTCCACAAGCGTCGGCAGTCGATTCCGTGTAACTGTTTTTATCCGTGTCATTGGCTCTGTCTGGACTGACTCGAGCCTTGCGCGGAACGCCTGGTACGCGGGATGTAGGTCTATGGCTCGGTTGAGCGTGCCAGTCGAGGACCAACTTTCCAGCATCAGCCTGGCCATTTTATCATTGCCTCGTCCGACCACACTCGCTTTCTCGAAGGAGAAACTGTGGTTCCGCTCTAGTGTGTGGCCATACAGTAACGACAGTTTATCCTTGCAGTTGATTGCAAGCTGGTGCTCGTGCAATCTTGTGCCGAGGCGTTTTTCCGTTTCACCAACATACCTTGCATCACAGCCTTGGTATGGGATGTTGTAGACCACCGCTAATTATTCTGTCGCCGACAGCGGGTCTTTGGGCCTCCTAATCTGCTGTCTGATTGTTGATGCTGGTTTATGGACCACCCCAATTCCAAAAGATTTCAGAATTCTCAAAGTTGCCTCTAAAACGTTCTTCATATAGGGGATCGAGAGCAAGAACTTTGGTTTCTTCTCGCTCGACCGCCCAGAGTGGGGCTTCCTGAGACACTTGCATATGAACGACTTTGGGTAACCGTTGGCTTCAAACAGGACACGTAAGTTATTTCACCTCCTGCATCCTGCCATCGTCGTCGCTGCAGTGTGTTTGGCTGAGTTGAAAAAGGGTCCTGACACAACTGCGTTTGTGACTGACGGGGTGGTTGCTTCTGAAGTGGAGGATGCACCTAGTGTTTTTCGCCTTACGGTAGACCGTCGTCTTTATATTCCTGCCTGACAGTTTTGCGACTTGCACGTCTAGGAAGGGCAATCGGTTGACAACCTCTTCTTCCACAGTGAACTGTGTGTCGGGAAATATTTAATTCAAAAGAGCCTTGAAATCTTGCATGTCACTCCTTCTTATTATGACGAATGTGTCGTCAACATATCTGACCCAAAACTTCGGAAGGTACGAGCTGAATACCAGTCGCTACAGCCTCTGCAAAACCGCTTCGGCAATTAGCCCAGACAGAGGTGAGCCCATTGGCGTTCCCTTCTTTTGATCGTACAATTGGCCATTAAATGTGGAGAAAGTCTTAAGGCACAATTCTAGGAGCTCGATAATGTACACTCGCTTAAGCTGTTGGTAAGTCTCGTCGTATTTTTCTCGGAGTAGGCCGTCAAGAGCGTCGATGGCAAGGTGGGATGGGATAGAGGGGACTAGAGAGACCACGTCGAAGGACACCATCACCTCATCTGTCTCCACTCTATGACGTCGAATGTGACCCAAACACTTTTCAACTGATTTCACTGTCCACTCTGAGTCCTTGATGAGGAAACAAAGTGGCTGGTACAGCCACTTTGACAGTCCGAAGGTTGGGGTGTCACGAAAAGAAACGATTGGGCGGAGAGGCACTCCTGGCCTGTGTACCTTGGGCAGGCCGTAGAAGCGCGCCATCGCTGTGTCAGTGGCCTCTGCGGACAGTGCCTGTTTTCTCGTGAGAGCACTCGCTTTCTTTAACCTCCCGCCGCCTTGTTTATGTTGTTTACAAACTTTTTGAACTTGTTGACATCCGAAAGCGCATAAGATCCCTTGCCCATCAGCAGGTTCTCCAGTTTAGTCCTGTATTCGGTCTTATCCATGACGACCGTCGAGCGTACCTTGTCAACAGGCAGGGTGACGATATTCTTTATTTTTCGTATACAGACAAGTTCTCGATCTTCTGCTTCGGAAATTTTCATTTGGGGTTTGTGCTGGAGAAGTAAGGACGGCACCTGTTGCCGCATGGCGTGTTTCTATTCTTCATCTGCCTCGCACTTCTGGAGCGCTGATTCGAAGGATGCGATGAAGTCTTCTGGCTGAGCATCTCTCGTACTGAACTTAGTGTCATAGGATAAAAACTCTAGCTGTTGTTTCGTGGGACGACGGAAGGGCAGGTTGTGAAACAGGATCCAATCAGAGGAGGGCTGTTTCGGCGGACTTATTTGACTGAATTTTTTTAACAGTTGATAATCGCTTAACTTTCGGCGACGCTGTGCCCCTTTGAGGATTGCCGCCCTCAAGGCTTCCAGCTCGGGCGCGGTCAAAGCCGACTGCCAAGTTTATAATTGTTGTTCTATCACTTGGTGGTATTTGCAAATACGAAAGCGGCAGTCTTGTATCAGTACTTTGAGCACCGTCTTTTTGAAGTGTCCCATCATCCGCTGACACGAGTCAGTGTTCAGAGGCGGTCTGTATCTGAGGCATTTGGGTAATACATTCTCGTCAAGGCACCGGTGCAGGAATTTCAGCTGAGCGTAAGTGGGTGACTCTCGCTTCGCAAAGGTCTCCCATTTGCGAGCTGAAAGAGACATGTGCGCCCATAGCATAAAGCAATATGCGTAAAGATCTGAGGTCCAGATATATTACCGTGTTTATCATCACCCGAGGAAGACGAAGAAGAGAAATCGATTTTATGGACGTCAGTTTGAATAAAATCTGGTCCGTGAAATCGCTTTCACTTCTTCGTCTTCCTCGGGCGATGATAAACAGCGGTGAGACACTGATGAACTCCGGTTCGATGAAGTGCTTATGACCCATCTGGTAGACCCCAGGGGTGGACCAACTGCGTCAGGTGCGTCCGTGTGCATGTTTGCGTTTCTGGTCCCAGCTGCTCGTCAAGGTTATGATTGACTGAATGAAGGGAGAATACGCCCGAAACAGTAGTGTATCAATCTACCCTCCATTCTCTGTCTTCTCTCCTCGCTGCTATATATATATATATATATGTAGAGTAGAAGCGGTATGCATTCCGAGACGATATAATGGAAAAGGAAAAGGTTCTTCGGAAAAACTCGCATAGACGACGCTGGGGGACCCACTGAAGTGCCGAACCCCTCGCAGCTCTGCCGCTCAGAGGCAGAATATCGGACAAACTCTTGTGTGGTCTTTTACCTAATACGTATGCCGGGAGTACAGTATAATAACATTGCTATATATATGTCCATCTCAGACGGGCGCGCGTTCACCTTAGAGAACTGTGGAACCCTAGGTAAAGGGGACGACCACGCGCCTAGTGGGTCGGCGCACTAATTCTCGATTTTTAAAGCGTGAATATTTAAGGGAAGTTCAAGAAATACTCTGGAATTATATTTTTGGTAAGTGCATTCCTAAAAAATTAGGCACTTTGTGATGAAATTTTATAAATTACAGGAATAAAATCTCTGAAATATATCGATACTCATTTCCGAACATTATTTTGTGGGGGCTTTTTATAATGCAACTTTCAGATGTCAATGTATTATCTCAATCGCCTCTGTAGGGCACATCTCTGTGTATTTAAATTCTCGTTCATATTTACTCGCCTTCGACATTTGACACGTCGGCAAAACGCGAAATGAATGGTCCAGCCTTACCCAGGCCGGCCGTCTCCCACTTTCAATTTTCGCCGGGGCTTGTTATCTTTGTGAAGGCTGCCAAGCAACTAAAGAGCCCACTGGTTCAGATGTTAGGTTGTCCTTACTACCAAATCCAAATTATGCCGCAGATCATTGGTGATGATATCATCCTCTGCAAAGTACCCGCTGCAAATCGCCACTCATTCGCACTCTTATTAGGTCACGGACGGTCTTCTCCTCCCTACACAATCTCTCTCGTCCGGAGCTCTAGCTGCGGAGAAGCTCCAGCGGCAACCGCCAAATAAATGGCAAAAACACATGCGTAGATACGCTCAGTGGGAGCGACGATGTAAACTGTAGTAAACAAAAAGTCAAGATTGCTAAATTATAATATACTCGACCGGTACTGAGAGCGAGTGTCTACTCAACTCGACGCCACCCCAAATTCTATCGAGTATCAGCGAAGGCCGTTTGTCGCCTTCTAACAGCATTTGAATTTAAGGTTACACACTAGCCTGAAGGCAGTTATCTGGCACTAATAAATGGCTCTAAGGTGGTTGCTTTTTCTCGCGAGAATTTCGGACTCATTAAGGCCGGATATGTGACCGGTCGATCAAGCCGTCTTCGCATCAGATACGACTATTTGTAGTGGATAAAAGGGCTGACTATTTCGAAAGGTATCAATTCGCAGAGCAACTGAGTCCTGCACAAACTACAATCATTCTGCATTCATCATTCTCATCTGTTGCTATTTCCAGTGATTATCTCGAGTTTAAATCCAAGAAGTTGAACGAATTTTTTTGTTCCGGCAATCGATTCTCCCTCTTCTCAACGAAAAGAAACATTTTGCCTGAGTTCTGCGTCTAACCACTGCTGGTTTCAATAAAGCAAATGCCTCTTTTAAGACGACCTCTGAAAATACATTTTTTATAAAGAAACATTTGTCTTCTGTTGTCATTTTACTTTATTTCCCCAGCAGTAACACGCTTTCGGTTCTGATCGTATTTCGGTTCTGAACTTATGTCATTGTTCCACCACTAGATATTTCCGTGTATGCACCAAAACGTCAGTGATTCTTGCTTTATTCAAACAGTACTAGCGATGTCAACGGCAGACCTCGAGGCAGTTTCCAGTCGGTTATCCTTCTGTGAGGTTAAAAGCCTGAAAAGCAGCATAATTCATCAAGACTTGAGACACAAGGGCTGCATTATTTCATCTCGTTAGCGGATGCCAGTTTTGCTTTCAAGGTCTTAAATAAGTGTGACATGCTTTTCAACTTGGTCTGTATGCTCGGGTATGCCAGTTAGTAGCTGCAACTTTCGATGAAGACAGACTTTTCATAAGCACTTCAGCGCTTAGGTCCCATTTCTTCAGTAGACGTGTCTAAAATTCAAAAGAACTTTAAGCAAATAAAAGTTTACAGTTTGTCGGTGCACCAGTTTTTTCCTGAAATATATCTTTAGAATTATGACTACTCATGCGTATCGAAGTGCTGTTTGATGTTTGTTTTATTTTCAAAACAGCTTTCTACAAGAAAAGTTACTAAAAAGGTTTGTGCCTGGTGGACGTTCATTTCGTGACTGATTATGTAGTGCCAGCCTAACCAGAATCCTCCATATTCAGGGTTTAAGGGAAATTTTCACCGAAACAAAGCACAAACCTCTTCAGCCGCAAATACGTAGTACCAAGTTGTCATTAGCACTATCGTATTCGAGTTTTTCGATATCCGACAGTATTCTGAGTGAATCAGTGGTGTTATCAGTATGATTCTCTATACTACACTAATAGTTTGATAGCTCCTTATCGTCAGCAAGCGGCTTTGGAACTCTTATAAATAGCAGTCAGAGACTCTTTGAGGAAAATGCTATTTATGCTACCAGATTCATATTGTGCAGGTGGCATTGATTATTAATGACCGTATAGTTCCTGCCTTCAAAAAACGGTAGTTCTTAAGAATCAGTTTAAGTAGAGTTATTTTGCTTGAAAATCGCAGCACCGTATGGCAAACGAGAACACAGCGGGTGAAGGCGCATTCAAACGGCTTTAATAATATATGACGTTTACTAAGGGGAGTCAAAAACGATCATATTAAAGTATATGGGGAAGATTTACAATATTTAATGGTAGAGGTTCTGTGCGATATTTCTTCCGGAGTGGCAGCTATCAGCATCTCTAGTTTTGGCTAAAACGCAAATGCTTCGTATGCGAGGTATCAGTTAAAGGGAGCAGCAAGATTTGTTCGAGTTTGTTAAACAGAGACTCAGCTTGTCAGATTAAAAGGGCTGTCTTCTTTGTGAAAACCGATTTCGACTAACTCTAACAATGATGAACTGTTTGAGGACTTGGTAGTGATTTCCTTGTGCGCTTGTGCCTCATGAAAATCAAAAGAATGCTTGGCTCGCCTAAAATTTATTTGGAGTTTTAATTTCTGGTCGGTGTTTAGAACGCAAAAGCTACAGATTTCGTCATTTTCTTACCAAATTTTCAAAGTTTTATGGGTACTATAAACAGGTGTTAACTCATTTTCGTTCTAAGCAGAAGATTTGGCGTCGTTCTGTCTTATAAAGGCAACGTTAGTCAGGTTCTGGCATTTACCAACGTAGACGGCGGTTTCAATGCTTCATTTGTACCCAACCTTAGACACACGTTTTTCGTTTGAAAATTAGTCGTAACAGCGCAGAGGTTTGCTTTTTTAAAAAAATAAAGACCTGCTCGTCATCATTTTTTCTTGATCTGTACTACTGTTGTTTTGGATTGGAGTGCATATCTACCTACGGGTCACTCATAATAACCATGCCAATCGTAGAGTTTTTACTCCACTGCAATATAATTCCGACCAAAGTGCAGTTTCAAGATTGACTTCCGTCAGAGAAACGGTATAGCAAAAAATGTGAGAATTTTGATTTGTCGTCGACGGCGTCGTCGTCGAGCGGAAGGCAACAGACGAATGCGATCAGGGGACCAGTACCCATGCTTAGCATCAGGGCGAAATGATCGATGCACCAGAGCAAGTCAGTGTAGAAATAACAGGCAATGGTCTGACAAAAAATGCTTATTTTGCCAATAACGACCCTTATCAGCGCATAATAGCAGTTTCTTTAGCCCTCAGCGAACGTTAGTATCGCGGAGGTCAATCTGAAATCTCCATGTGTAATGTATAATAGAAGGGACGGTGACATTTAAACCGAACAAGTTTAATTTGGTCACTATGCAAGATCATTGTCTAATGACGACCAAAATCCAACCCTCACTTGTTACTTGTGACGGACCCTCGTGAATTTGGTTGTCTTCGTGCCTATCAGCGATCCGGTGTATTATCAGATTAATTCGAAAAGGCGGCTGGACAAATCTCTGTATTAAAGCGCCTGTCAGGCTTTTGTCGACTTTGCGCTTAGAATGGGATAGCCCGTATGGATGCCAGCCCTATAGCATTTTTCCTACTTTGGTTGTTATTGAATCCCTGAACATCCTGCTTTCGATGTAGTCCTGAAACATACACTCTGGTTTGGTTTATCACTAGCTTCTATTTATATGGTCATTTTTTTGGAAAATTTCATTCATGAGTGTGGAGTTAATTATGACGGTGAAAAACTCAAAGTGACGCAGTCGTGTACACGAACCCCGCAAATTTGTTTACTACCTTGAGTGCCTAGAATTCCCGTAAACAAAATGCAAAACTTTCCGGTCCAAATTTTTCGACCACCTGTCCACAGCGATGATATGCAAGAGCGCAAAACAGTTTAAAAACCGAAGTTAGCAAGTGTGAGATCTCGCGTGGGAAAGCGTGCACCATGATACCCCGGATTTTTCATAACAAAATGTTCGGCTACATTTACCAGCTCCACCAAAGGTTATAACCGGTTGGAAGGTAGGTATTTCTCGTGTTTTTTACCGCCTGAATATGATTATGTTCTTCTCTTTCTATAGGCTCAGCGAAATGAAATTAATTATGAATGGAAGAGAATATACGCATCCCAGGTTCTTGTTTACAAGAAGGCGAAGACACGACCACTGGGACGGTAGATTTACTGGCCTTAACTTCCGAACTCGAACTGGAGTTCACCATCAGAGACTGCTACAGTGCAGCAACCTGTGAACATTTATATCGTTGTTCCGTGCGGGGGAGGGGGGGACTACGTCCGTGGCTAGATCTGGTTTGTGCCGCCTGGTCCACAATGGTCCCCCGGCGTGGTGACGCCGTTTGTACCTCGCGGCGGTGTGAGCTGCGCCACCTGGCTGCGTGGGCGGAGCGCGTGATAACACGCAGGAAAATCAATGTGTCTTTTGATAGAGTTGGTGTCCGACACCCACGTCTCCAACACTTCTCGTCCCGTCTTGTTGCCGGCTCGCGCTAATATCCGCGTGTTGGCGAAGTCGAAGTCATGGCCTTCCTCCAGCGTGTGAATGGCGACTTGAGATAGTGGGTCGCCTCTTCGAACGGCCCGTTTATGCTCAAGTATTCGTGAGCTGAGACGTCGTTCTGTTTGCCCTGTGTCGTGGCAAGGACAGTTATGGCACGGGATTAGATAGACTACGCCCGACTGCACACCTGCGTCCAGCCGATCCTTCATTTCCATGATCCTGCTACTCATGGTAGCCGCCGGATACTTGTTATTCCTGGAACGTTTTACCCAAAAGTTTAGGACACTTTTGTTTTCAAAAGCCTCTCAAGTTAACAGTGAGAGGGGCTGATCACTGAAGCATCACTCTGGTAACCTAGGTCTTCTGACCCGTGGGGAACACTATAATCAAGTACTGTGAAAATGAAGGGATTAATGACCGTCTCCTCTAGTCTAACCGCGCAAGGCCTTAGACGAAGACTGGGTTGCGGAGTTTAGCAGTGACAGCGCACCAACTAATGTGAGAGAGGCAGATTGATACGCTGCTTTGTAGGGCTTGTTTTTAGGTGCTCTCGTCGCCCTGCGCCATTAGCTCTGCAGACTGCATGCAGAGTGCAGGCAACAAATTGGCACAGCGACTTATCCATCGACACCGCTCGTGTATGCTTCCGTATTTACGAGTTCACGTTCCTGTGATCTGGAGATATAAAGGAAAGCTAAAAGAGACATGACATTTAAGAAATATACTAAATTGTTAAGCCGCCGCCCATTGATCTTTAATTTGTACGGCTGTCTTGTCAACAAGCGGTGCCGAAGCCACCGTCTGAATGGTGAGCTTAGCTTTCCTTGAGTCCGTTTTTTCACATACAGTAAGAAGTATCAAAACTTCGCAGTTTCGTTTGCTTTTATGTATCTTCGAGCAACTAGGGAGACTCAAGGACATTTTAGGGGTTGCCGTTCCATGCGAATTGGTCGCGTGGACACCGGAGTTTTTTAATTGCTCCTGCTGTTTACTACTGACGTTTCTAAGCCTCCAACATGCGCCCGCCCGCTCCACACCGGGGTTGATGCTATTACATATCACGATCCATGTGGTATCAGTAGCATTGTAGCATAATTTAGTGTCTAACTAGGCATTTTACCGACAGATGAAGAAGTCTAGAAAAGGTTTTGCGGTTTTTGCCTTATCTCTTGTCAAGTGATTATTGGAAGTGTCTTCGGCGAACTGTGACAGTTTAGAACCATGTTCTTTTCCACTAAAACGACCATTTCCTCAACGAATCGGCGCCGTGATGTAGGCTGACAGTGAAGGAAGACTTATCCTGGCTATTGTGGAACCAACTGTAAAACAAAGGCTGAACATTTTAAAACCAACTTTACTCCATATAAGCTGATTTTGCCTTCTATTCCCGATATGTTGATGGTGTTTGCATAGTGACGAATGAAACTTTCATTCGAAAACGGACGTGCAGACGGTTGAAGGAAAGGTATTCCCCCCATACCCGTTTCTGGGGACCTGGCCAGTGAACTCCTACAACGTCGCTTGAGGTTTGCTATTTGAACATACGACTCCAGCCACCACGATAAGATTATATTTTCCAAGCACTCCTCGAAGGTAAGAATCAGTTGTCCTTTAAATCTCTCAAATTTGGGTTTCCACCTTCACGTTCATAACAGTCCTCCAGTCCAAGCTGAGAATCTTACCGTTTTACCCTTAACTACATCACACTGAAGCAAAGAAACACAAATACATCACCTGCCCTTCCCTACTCAAAGCTTACACCATGACCTCTTTCTTCTACAGGACACGTCCGAACAGTTTTCAACGCCCTTCCCCCATTACCCTGGCAACAAGTTTCTTTTGTTTTATTCAGTTTTTGCTGCCCTTTTGTGGCCTTCTTTATTATGCGGAACTGATGACGAAAATTCAAAAAGTATGACCTCCGACTTTGAGTTCTTCGCTTGCGGAACTCATTGACGTCTCCTTGTTTTGGCTAAATGCTGCGTCGTTGACGATGAGGGTCTCGTCTGTCGAGAATACTCAATGTCACAATATAAGCGCTGTTATAAAAACTTGCTCTTCGCCTACCTAGTGGTGTGTTTGCATCCCCTCACGCGTCAAGTCAGGTTTGGTGAACTTTTAAGTCTAGGGGTACCATAATTACTTCGAGTCGAACGGCTTGTCCTCACAGATCATGTAGGAACAGAAAGGCCGAATTATTTTCATATGCATTGTAGGGGATTATGGTGACACTTAAAATTTTTATGATAAACCATTCCAAGGCTTAAAATGTGCAAATCGATCTGGAAGAAGCGATGCTCGTTGCAGGTAGATTCAATAAGCGAACTGGGATGAAGCAAAAAGTGAGAAATTGCGACGATTCGTGGAACCATAGAAGTTTTTTAAACTCCTGCGTGAGTAACTAAAAAGTTCTGAGGATAGTCACGTTATATCGACGAAATATATCGGTAAATAAGTCGGCCACGCATCTGGATGAGACCAGATGCCACTACGTGCTCTTCAGAGTCAGTGGTCACCCACGAGTAGTCACTCAGAGCAACCAAGTGCCCTGGTGGAACCTCACTTAAGATTTCAATCACTTCATCTCCAAACAGAACATTTCGCCTGTAAAAGCCGTATCGGAGACTGCCGTTGGATCCCTCGTGTCACTTGGAATAGGAATCACCAAGATACAAGATTCGATAAGTCCCCAGCAGGTGATGCGGCCAAAAGGCCCCACGTCTGACCAGGAGAAGTCCGCGCTTGTCATCCGACAGGCGTGCGGTTGTGAAGGAAGGAGACCTATGTCGGGGAAACCAGTTAGCGGCTGCGTGCGTGAATTCGCGTTCTGCCCTCGAGTTAAACGCAGTCAGGGGTCGTAAACAATGCCGAGTAGATGAGACGTAGCCTTACCTTTGACGTCACTGAGGTGGTAACGAACGCACACCGAGTCAGGTGCAACAAGCCTGATTGTCGACCGACCGTCAGGTCAACCTATACATAACATTGAATTTGCCTTAAGCGGACTCGCGAAGCTATTTGACAGGAGGCGAGCAAGGTGGGAGACAGGTGGGACTCGCCAATGATCGTCAGGGTCAACAAGGACATAATCACGCAGACGGGTGTGATTTCGCGTCCGCAAATGACTTTGGCGAAATACGTATCAGGAGGGTTGCGCGCATAGACCAAGTGTCATTTAACGAGGCCCATGCTCAGGAAGCCTCCGTCTGTCGAAATAATTAGTCGAATTTGTTCTTTTAAAAGTCAGCACAGAAATGGACTCCTTCTGACAAACGTCTACTCCTCTTTTGTTAGAATAATCGAACTTGGGAATTTTAGCGGTTTTTCATTAGAACAATATTCCCAATCCCTTGAATTTTGAATCAAAGACACTGCTGATGTCGTATAAATAGGAGTACTCATGGTTAGCGGCAAACGTAGCTGATTTTTACCGGATAAAATCCAATTTTTGCCTGTCTGTGTAAAAGTAGGCCGTCAAGTCGCACGTAAAACTGACAGGGGACTGGGTGCCTATTGACCTTGGAACGGCAAACCCCGTAAGAATATTTTTTGCAAGTTAAACTGCCTTAATTTTGAGTAAGGACGAAATTCAAGGTGATTCCTAATGTTGACTTGAAACTAGTCTTAAAAATTGTAATTTTACCGTTGCTCCTTTGAAACATCTAATATTTTTCATTTTTATTGCAAACATTGTGTATAATTCCATTCACTCCCTTCAGTGGGAGAGAGGAATGGTGGTGGGACACGGGGGCGAAGACGCTCCTGTGCTACGGGTGGCCCCACGCAAAATTCCAGAGAACACTTATTTGCATGGCGAAGGAGGAGACACGACTGCTAGAACAGGAGCCTTGTGAGCTTGACGTTTCGGACTCTCACTCGAATCCGTCATCAGAGACAGAGTCCGACTATATTAATCCCATCTTCCCGGACAGAGATTTGCGATGGAGGAAGAGAAAAACAATCAGTGGGCCTTTCTTGATGCCCTCGTCTGCCGCAAGGATTATGGTGGCCTAAAAACCGAAGCATTCAGGAAAGCGACAAACACGATGCAAGTACTGAGCTACAACAGTGACTACCCAATCGGCCGCAAACGCAGTTGCGTAAGGGCGTTATACTAGCGTGTAGAGGTACACTGCAGTGAACCGGAAGATAAGGATGCTGAATTACAATGCCTTCAACGGGTCCTTAGAGTGAAGGACAACCCCACAACGTCGTCAACCAGGGCCTTCGCAAACGGAGCTGGACGAAATTCGACCGGTCCCAAATATTGGCGAGCTTTCCCCTACGTGAAGAATGTCTCAGAAGTCGCCAGCCGCCCTCTCACACCCTTTGGAAGTTGGGTTATAAATCGACCGGAGGCAACCATAAGGCGTCAGATCATGAGACCGAATGACTCACTACCACGGCAAGAAGCAACTGGGATCGTTTTCTCGGTCTGGTGCAGTTGTGAACAAAGCAAATATGTCAGGGAAACGGAGACTTCTCCTGACGCGGATGACAGAGCACGCAGCAGCAGTGTGAGGTTACGACGCCAGCTCCTCAAGTCGCGGCTCACTCGATGGGACCTGACCATAAATTAAAGTCTGACGGAAAAGAAATTCTTGCTAGAGGGGATAACCAACTGAGCCACAAACTCCTCGAGTCATGATTTTCCGGTCCTC